GATATTTATGTTTACATTTTTATACCGTTATTGTTGATATCGTATGTTATTACATTGAACTGCGTATATATATTTATGAAATAAAAATGTGTTATTAATAAATTGTACAATTAATATATTGATACATCAATTAATAACATATTCTATCTATTTGGCTTGAAATATACTCTTAGTGTATAGTTAGCAATATTTTCTATGGCTGTAGGTCCAGCAATTATGGTTTAATCGATTTTTCCATCATTCAATATCATGGGTTTGAAATGAAAATCACAGTAAAATAGAGCTCTGAATAAAGAATCAGGCAACTTTTGTAAGGTGTCAAGATGAGAATTCCCGGGTTTGTGCAGGATAGCCATTATATATAACAGCCACTGCTAATATTAAAAGGCTACTAAATTATATTACATTGAAAACCCACGCTGACGACTCTTACCCTACTCAAAACTATATCTTCCAATCTCAAAACAATAGATATGTTAGTTTGAAGTGGTGATCACCATGAAAAAATCAATCGCCAATAAAGGTTTAGAGGACATGAGCTTTCCTACTTTGACTAGAAATGTTTTTCATGCAGAAATCAGTAATGATATACTGTTTATCCACAAATTATATTGTCATATTTGTATTTTGAAATTTATTTTCTTTAACTGGCGAACCAAGTATTTAAAACAGTTGCTGGCAAGTCAAAGTAGATTCTAAGATAAATAGGAAGGAAGGTGCCTTCAATGTGATGGATGTAAACCTTTTTGCAATTTTTTCGGACACACGTACTACGTTGTACTTTGAGCTTTAGGTAGGTTGTGGAAATCCTGTTAGGTTTATTTCACTTTGATACCAACCACATGACCGAATATAGAATATGGATCGGAGGGCAAAGTTGATCAATAAAGTCACTTTTGTCGTCCTCAAAGGTTCCCCTTATTCATGAGAAGCTGTTGACAGGATGTCCCCATTATCTCAGGAGTGCTCCTGTTCTTGTCTGCCGGTCTGAAGTGTGAGCTTTTAGAACTCGTCAAGTTGATGCAATAACTCCCATGCTTCTGAACTAAGTCTGATAAATACTCGTTTGAAAGAGTTCATTCTAATGCGTACAACTTAAGAATACAGTTCTATAAGCACGAGCGATCCTCAATCTCAAGCATGGTTATGCGTTTCAACCATCACGTAGTGCCGTAGGAAATCGACACGGATTTCCTACGGCCACCTAGGGTCGTGAAGAATTTCATATATTCTGCCATTCACGTCCCTAATCCCCTTTGTAGAAACGGTTATCTCAATATTCCGTGCAGTATGGACAGATTCTCATTTTTCAATTTGAACTCCGCTGCTTAGTAGAGCTTAAAATCCTTTTTCGAAATATGAAGCTTTTACGCTCCTTCATATCCAGGCTTACACGAATAAGCCTGGATATGAAGGAGCGTACAAAAAAATCATCTACAACATATTTATGACAAGTTTTGAAATCAATATACACTACGAGTAACTCTCATCCATCGTATAATGCCAGTTTATAACCTGGTATACGACCTGGTTTTTTTCTAAGGAAATTTCCAGTAGGTAAAGACGTTCTTAAAACACAAGAGTTTCACACCTTAACCAACGCTTAGTATAAATATGTTTGATAAGTATTTTTTCGGTTCGCTGCTAGAAACAATCCTAGTTTATTATCCCTAAATATAGCATGGAAATATCACATGGCATTTAACATCTTTGTAACAAAAGAACATAGAATACTAACGAAAAATAAAATTGTCCGTCTTCATAAGGCAAATTAAAATAGTGGTCTAACTTAAAGATTTTTTTGGGGGGCAACAGTTTTAGATGTTCACACCATTTAACCATTAGGTACAATCTTTATCTTATCGGAATAGGCTGGTTTATCAACTGATTGAAATAGTTGTGGCTTTACACATTTGTCATTGTGGAGACTTACGGTAACTTAAAGCAAGACGGGTTACAAATCTTTAGTTGTGTCGTTGGTTCGCGTCCTGGTGCTCGCCATTTTTTCGGAACAGTTCTCTCTTGAACCGCTCCGGTCTTCACCGATCCACGCACAGGATCTTATATACCTATCTATATGCAAGGTTAAAAACCCTTTAAAATATCATAAGAAAAATATAATCTTAATCGGGATATGTTTACGAAACCGTTCGTGCCTTTGGTCACAACCAATTGACTTGGATGAATAACCCATTTAGGTATAAATTATATTTTAATTCCTCAAAACCTGAGAACTATGAATTTGATTACAGTCACTCTCACACTACCTTATAAATCCTGAATATAACATTAAAAATCATCGACTTGGATTTTTTTTGGTAGATTGTTTCAACAAAACAAAAGTTGCTTAGTCATTCGCATGACTGGAAAGCTTAATTTTCTAACGTCATCTACAAACTTTTGCACGTTTCTGAAAGTAAATAGTTTTACCAAACCAAAACTGAGATAAATATATACAGGTAAAATATCTGGCATCAAAAAGAATCTCCGCTATGTATAATGGTTTGATTAAGCTACCTTTAATCGTAGAGTAGCAATCTGTTGGTCCCATGGAGATTGTAGCTCGGGCTTGGTGACCTCAACACCTGAGGGACCCTACCTAGTGGTCACTGGTCAGTACAGGTTTATAAACTATGCAGAGTATGCTAACATGAGCACACGACGCTTTACACTTGAACTCCATTCTTTCAACCAATCGAGAGTTCGTTTCCAGCTATTTTTACACGAAACATAAAATTGAAATAAAAAATTAAATTTGAAAAGTTGAATCATTTTAATAGTTTTAGAATTGTGTTGTTTGGCGTGATTTATAAAAATAATAAATGAGAGTTTCCACTGTTAATTTGTATCTTGACGGTTTACTACTAAGTTGGATAAAGACATTGCATTACGAATATGATTCGAGCGACAACCAAGACGGTTCTAGGTTCGGGCACTGTTTTGTAGGCGGATGCTACCCTAAGGGCTGGATGATGCTGCAATTATTACCTGTATGTACTTTTATCTTAAACTAGTGTCCCTCTTGCTCGAATTCGAGCAATTGCTGTAATAACTAGGCGTTATTTTAAAACGAATAACAGTAATAATTTCTGGTGACTTTAAAATATTTGACTCAAAGATTATGGAAATACTCAAGATGTACATAGCAGATCGATATAAATAATCAACATTTCTTTTAAATATCTTATTATTTGTCAAAAGCTGATCTTGTTTTTTAGTGTTTTCTACAAATAGCCTTACTCATAGCCGCATTAGGTTGTCCATAATAACGATTATAAATAATAATAATAATAATAAAAAAAAAACAAAAAAAAACAGTATTTTTATTTCTTCTCCTTGGTGGTGTTCTATGACCTTTTTATGTTTCCATAGTTTGCAAATCGGCTCCAAATATTTCATTTCAACCAAGTCAGTAAATGTTTGTAGCAAACTGTTAAATTAGCAAACTTAGTCACTGTTTACAATTCACATATTTTCCTTTTCTCACTTTTAATTTCCGACAACAGCTGGAGTTTCATAACAATGTGTGTTTTCCATGTTAATCTTGTGGAGAAATACGAAACTTTAAAGGGCTCCAAGGCCTCACTCTCTAATTATTTCCCTAAAAAGAAAGTTTCCTGCACAACTTCACGTTACGCTCTTTCCAATGACACCAACAACATGTCAATCGGTTCAAAAGTTTCGGAGGAGTAATTGTCACAAAAAACCTGCTTGCGTATTAAATAAGTACTAGTGTACATGTTGCTCGAAATCGAGCAATTGCAAAGAAGTACAGGAGTTATTTATAAACGTTTAAAAACTAATAACAGTCATAATTTTCGATGATTTAAAAAAAGTCGACTAAAAGATTATTAACTAATGGAAATGCTCACAATTTACATAACAGTCCTATTCCAAAGGGTTAATTTTTAACTATCAAACTGCCGATGGACGGGGAAAGATAAACTTACAATTTAAGTCAACGTTAAAAAGCTGTCAGCTTTTATAATGTACCGTAACTATGTTATTTAGCCAATTCGTAGACAATAAGGTGTAAGCTACTTTAAACTTGACAGAACAGAGTTAGGCAAAAACTGGCAGAACTCTGAAATGGTGTTATTTATCATAGGCATACTCATATGCCAAATCCTTAAAATAAAAATTCAATAAAAATAACTTATATCAATAAAAAACACAAACCAACATCCAAAACTATACACATTTTTAATACAACATAGATAATTATTTACACATTGACTGTTTACAATTAACATAGTTCTTCTTCTCACTTTTAATTTTTGCTTTGCAACGGGAAAAATCTGTTTCATAATAACTGAAACAGGTTTATAATAAATAATCTATCATAAATTAAATAAACCTACCACATAGTTGTTTTTTTTTTGTATCAGCTGTCTGAAATTGTGAAATAGACGTTTGACAGTTCTGGTTGTTTACTTTTAAATGTCAAAGCAAATGTAAACATTGTGAATTTTCTCATGCTTCCATGGAGACCAAGTATTAATATTTGATTTCTGACAACAGCTGGAGTTTCAAAACAATATTTGTTTCCCATGTTAATCTTATGGAGAAATTTGAAACTTTAAAGGGCCCCAGGGCCTCACTCTCTAATTATTTACCTAAAAAGAAAGTTTCCTGCTCAACTTCACGTTACGCTCTTTCCAATGACACCAAAAACATGTCAATCGGTTCAGTAGTTTCGGAGAAGTAATTGTCACAAAATTCCTGCTTGCGTATTAAATAAGTATAGATAGTAGAATAGATATTTGTTTTGGATCGTAATTATGTGAATCTAGTTTTCCTCTCATGCTCTTGTCTAGGGACACTGCTAATATTAAATTCATTTATACTTAATAATTAATTAGCCTAATTATCCTGGTAAAATGTTCGTCAACTTTTTTTGTACGATGCTCTTATCGATGGACGAAAATTCAATCGTTCCGTTCACATCGTTATTGCATGCTTGTGCCATACTATTGCGTTAATTATTTCTAATTTTTCAGGTGTTTCCTGACATTATCGTATGATTTGAGGAAGCTCCTGGTCACCTTCTCTTGGTGAGTGATTCTTTTACATAACATCGCATGTTGAATGAAATTCTCGAATGTTGGTTTTTACTCAAACACTGTTGCCGTGCATTTCTGGAACTAATTTACTCATTGGCGTTTTAGGAAATTTCTCCGTAACCGTCAGGCATACAGCAATGTTTCTACACACTAAATTATTTGTTTTTAAGCTCTACAAAATAGTTTGCAAAATTCTATATTTTTAGGTTCAGAAATGGAAAAAAACATCCATTGTCATCCCTTTAAACCCCCGTTCCTATAGCCCGATCGTGCTGGTTCGCAAACTCGTTCTAATAAACGTAGGTTTACACTTTTGTACCAAATTTCATCAAAATCAGATCATTTTTGCCCCAGTTACCTTGAGACCTTCGGTAATAGCTGGAGGTCTCAGGTTCGGTTTCCGCCAAATGGCAATGGATGTCCATGTGAAAATGCCGCAATGCCTAAGGACTAGCCTGATTTAGATGTAAAACAGTTCCGGGCTAGAACCCAGTGTCTTAGGATGTGAATATGGGAGACAAAAAGAAGAATCTAGAAGAAATAGGAAACAAAATTGCAATATATAACCGTGTAGCCTATTATGTATAGATCCCGTTAACCGAAGCCATCACGTTTGTAGGCTACTAAACATAGGTCATCCTTATTCATACTAAATATATATTTACAATTTCGATTCAACCGAATCCTCGTGTTAATTGAATACTGAAATAATCATTGTTGATTAGATATCATAATACAAATTTCGCGGAACAATTTATGTACAAGTTTATTTGTAGCAACATGCTTAATTGCCATGAAGAGTTCTGGAAATTGTTAGAACAATTAAATAAACATTATCATACTCAGCGCCATGTTGATTTCATTTTAAGTTTAACTAAGTGCTTAAATGGTTATTACAGTGGTATAATTGTGGACTACTTGCAGCTAAATAAACGTTATAATACATTCTCACCATGCACTTAAACTTTCCTGGTTACAAATATAGCGTTATTGAATTTATTATGGTACTTTGATTGAGACGAGTATTTCCACTTGAACTGAGAATTGAGTTATGTTCTAACTTTGTTGCAATATCTCTTGCCAGGACAATCTTTGAACGTACAACAAATAAGTTGTAGTTGCTCAAGGTAGTATCCATATTTTAGAGTGAAAAATAATTTAAATCACTGCTAAAAAACAAAGGACATTATAGTTTATATTTAATTGTGTACTATAATTTCTCTAATTTAAATTATTGTTCGACTATGCCACCTGCAAGGGAGTCTAAAGCGACGGTGTAATCGCTAACGAGAATATACACCGATGTTTTCTTTTAGCATATCTATTGATCACCTTTGATCAATAAAGCAAAAAAGGTGTTTTCAATACCAATTGTGAAAAAAGCTAATACACTTTCGGTGTACTTTATAACATCATTGATTATATCTTAATTATGTTGATGTTCTATGAAATACAAAAGCTTATTCAATACCCAAAATTAGTATAAAAAATCTAAAACTTAAGTGGTTTCAGTAAAAATCCAGCATATCGTGCATATCAGGTTAGCATGGAGGACATAACCTATATTTCGGATTTGTTACAGCAAACAGTGAATTATTACAATCAATCTCTCTGGAGCCAGACACAATTTTCTCCACATGCGAATGACGAGTTGGCGCGAAAAATCTGCATAAATCGATAAAAAAAGTCTGACTCGGGGCGCGATTGGCGTGTGGGCTGGCAGTTAGACCGAGGTACGTTGCGGTCTACCCTGCAACACGGTACCTCCCCGGCATAGTAACAAAGCTGGTCTCATACCCTGCTTGACATAGGCATCGTCTGCGCACCTTAGTGCCAACACATCTAACAAATGGCTGATTAAAATGCTAAGAACACTTTTATTTAGCATTTATTTCCGATCAAAATTAATTTAAGAAAAATCTAATAATAATTAGCTGAAAAATAACTATTTTTAAGCACAAAATGAGGCGCACCCTACTTACAGCTTGGCCTAATTTTTCTTGCCCTGAGCAACGAAAAATCTAGATTTCTCCGCAATTTATTACTATCTTTATGAACTTAAAGTTGTTTAGTACATAATTTCAAATTCTAGCTAAAAGTTTATGTTATTTTATATGAAAATATACGTGTTAACAGTATAAGTACACCGATCAAAAGATCTTAAGATTATTAAGATTTTGAACTACCGAGTTCATTATCACATGGCGGGAACATGTTACCAGTATTAAAATCATGTGCACAACATGATTAACATGCAAACAAACCTCTTCTAAATACAAAACCCGTGTTAAAATAAAAATCCATAGCCAACATTGTATAATAATGGCATAATTAAATGCCTAAGTATGATCCATAACCGTTGAGAGAGTTTGGCTATATTCAAATATTTGGGTACTTCCGTCTTAACTTTCCTGGGTGACAACAGGAAATTTTAACTGTGTATACCAGTATATAGTAAAATGCACTTTTTTGTATGAAGATTTTATCCGTACAGCTTAGATATTTTACAAGTAAAACTCCATCAAATGTCGCCTAATTTTAAAGGTCTTCTTAAAAGAAGAATATTAGTGAAAACTAGAGGTTAAAACTATCATATTGTAGTACGACATGACAGTGTTTTGAAAATATATCAAAATACATTCACGTGGGTACTCTTAGCATGATGACAAATTACGGTCATTTTGTACTGGGATTGACATATATGTCTCTACTTTTTCCTTATTTTTCCTCATTTTGGATCTTTAAAATGAGGTAGGGGGCAATGAGGCTTCACAGTAACCATTTTTAAACTTCCCTCAAATTGTAACATTTTGAGATCCTGAAAAAACTAATATTGACCAAAAATTGCACTTGTATACTATATAAAGGTGTGCAAAGTTAAGTTTTTTGTGTAACCCATTACAAGTTAAGAGGCCGTATCCATAATTTCTAACCCTAGTGCAATTAAATTTTAAGAATATATAATAGAGCTTTCCCAAAGCTTTGAAGTAATACTGAGTAGGCTGTGTGGTTCAAATTGGTATATGTACTCAGAGTCTAGTATCCTAATAGCTTAATCTACAATACAATTTAATCCACGAATTACCAATGATATCAATATTGTGTAAGCTAATGATTTTATAAAACAGTTCCCAATTAGGTTAAAACTCGTTGAACAAGCACTTGTTACGGAAGATACAAAACAGTATTCATTATGATCACCATAGAAGCTAATGAAGATGTGAATTTCAATATCTGCATGTCGATAAAATTATTTTCCCCAACCAACACATAAACTTCAGTGTTGTGGCTGACGTCCGTGTTTGTTGTATTATTAAACTTCTTTATGGAAATATTCAAATTTTGTTTACTTATACATGTTAGATGATGCTTGAAAAGGCACGCGTGGTCTATCCGATTGTTTCGAGCGATTCCCGACATTGCAGAGCGTTCAATTGAAGCGCTAGGTACTATATGCACTCCAACTGCGGTTACCTAAATACCATACAACATCGTATCCAAGTTATAAGTGCTATGATATAGGTTTTCCTGCTGCTATTAAATAAACTATACTATTTTTTGCGAATAAAGTTGCCAGTTTCCTACAACGTTTCTTCGGCTATGGTAAGCCGGGTTTTATCACGAAGTCGCCATGCAGATTACTAAACATGATCTTGAAATAATCTTGAATTTGTATAAATTAGTGATTCTGTCGAGCACACTCCGATTGGGCACAAGGCAAAAACCTCACCGTGGCACACGAAGTACGCTAGATAGATTTGTCCACGATTTTGCCAGTCATAATAGTAATGAGAGTCTCGTCTTATACAAATAAGAACATGGAATTTGAATGGTATTGCTTGTACTTCACTCCCACAAGGTCCATTCTACAGGCGAGTTTAAGTAAACATACCTTAGTAAACATGCCCTTATATACATAATGCACATGTGTACAATAATTAGCGTCCCGAATCTTAGTAAAACTAAAATGAGACATGTTTCTGAAACGGCTAACAGAATACTTTAAAATTCCTCAAGTTTGTCTGCAATAACGAAAAAGATGATTGCAGTTTATTGGACCATAAAGATTTTAAATATAAATTCAATTAATTAGACAACAAAGAATTGTCGGACATTTATAGTTTTGTTAAATTTAAATTCGGCAAATAATTAATTTTCCAAAAATTATAATACTTAAAATGTCACTCGATGTAATTTCTTTCCGCGTCTAATTGGAGAAAATTAATTAAATAATTAATCTGAATCGGATTTGTTTGATTTTTACGAATCCAATTATAAACGTTACACAAAGAGTGTAGTCGATTACATTTTACTAATTTCCTACATGTTGTTTTGGTTCCGTACATTTACGAGTATTAGTTTTTAAAATATTAATCTTTTAAAACTAAAACCGGCTCCAATTTGAACATTTTGATTTAAATTAATTTATATTTTCACTCTTTTTAGGCTCCATTAGTGGCCCCACTCGTACTCAGCTTAGAGACTATGGTTTAGTGGGACTAAGTTTCTTTTTTCAACTATAATAGATACATTTTAATTTACCTATTATATAATATTACTGTATCCCCCCCCCCAAATTTAGGGCATTTAACATTTTTGTTGATCAAACAGTTTCTGTGACCATTTTTATGGAAATGCAATATGCGTTTTTGCATAACAGTATAATTAACTATAATTATAACAATTGAAATGTTTAAACCATGGAGGAAACGTTTATCAGTAAGCTACACACTTTAATAGGAGAAATTAAATTTCTCGTTAGTCCCTGTCTAAGGTAAGGCCTGTGCCCAGTCCCCGCGAGCCCATTTCGTCATATACCCGTCCATGCCTACCTTTTAAAGTTTAGAGTAGGCCTGTCCTAACTCGGACCCCTTGTAGGACCCGGGACGGTACAGTTTTATAATTTACATAAATGTTTAGTAAGAAAATCAATCTAATACCTGCTTTTTATTAATCCAAAGCAGTACAGTAATCAAAATACTCCGTTCTAT